CTGAGGGTGCTACTACTGGGGGTGCTGAGCCTGGGGGTGCTGAGCCTGGGGGTGCTACGCCTGGAGGTGCTGAGCCTGGGGGTGCGGAGCCTGAGGGAGCTGGGCCTGCTCGTGTGGCGTCTGGCGGTGCTGAGCCTGGAGGTTCTCCGGGTGCTTCGTCTCGGCGGGAGCCACTCTCTCCACAGGAGCTGCGCGAGTGGTTTGCCCGGCGCTGGAGGCGTGCTGCTGGAGCTGGAGGTTCTTCGGCTGCTGAGGGTGCTGGTGCCGCGGGTCCCGGAGGTGCTCGTACTGGGAGTACTGGAGCTGCTGGGCCTGCGGGTACGACTGGAGCTGGAGCTTCTGAGGGTGTTGGCGCTGAGGCTACTGCTGTCGGTCCAGGAGGCGGTCCAGCTGGGGGTGCTACTGGTGCTGCTGGAGGTACTGGAGCTGGAGGTGCTGCTGGCGCTGGTGCTGCCGCTGGGGGTACTGGTGCTGTCCCTGCTGTGTCTGGAGTCGCCGCGCGGCCTAGGCCGTACTTCGTTCCGCTCCTTCAGCAGGTTCTTGGTCTCCCGCCTTCTACTGGTCCTCCTCCTCCCTTAGAGTGTCCACAGCCTGTTCCGTCACAGTTACAGTTACAGCCGGCCTCCCCACTGCCCGCTCCTTCTCCCTACACTGGTCCTACTGGAGGTCTTGCTGAGCGTCGTGAGCCTGCGTCTCGCCCTGCGTCGCCTGTCCGTGCTGTTCGCACTAGTGGTCGTGGTTCGCGTCAGCGTCCTCCTCCTGTCCCTGGCACGCACCGGATGTCTCTGCGTCCGTCCACTGCTCCTCTGCGTGCCCCTTTACCTTCTCCTCCTGAGTCCTCTCTTCCTGCTCTTCCTGACCCGGAGTCGGACTCTCTTCGTGCTGCCAGTCCTACTGTCACGCGTCTCCTTGCTACTGTTGTCACTGACCCTTCCTTTGAGTCCACTGCTGCGTCTGCCCTAGTTACAGAGCTCGTCGACTTTGCTGCTCGCTGTCGCCTAGACTACGCTGCTAGTCTTGTTGCTGAGTCTGAGTCTGTCTGTCCTCCGTCCGTCGGGGGTGAGTGTGCCCTTGGCACGGACGTCCTTGAGGACAGGCAGGAGGAGTTCCAGTGTTTGGCTGCTGCTTCACCTCATCTCGTGTCCGTACTGCTTACCCCTGAGGGAGACCCGGATGCACTTGACATCCCGACTCCGCGCTCTTACGCGGAGGCGATAGAGGGTCCCTACTCCTCTCAGTGGCAGGCAGCTATGGACACAGAGATGGCTTCCTGGAAGTCCACAGGCACCTACGTTGACGAGGTTCCCCCGCCTGGGGCGAACATCGTCAGTGGCATGTGGATTTTCAGGGTGAAGCGGCCGCCGGGTTCTCCGCCTGTCTTCAAGGCGCGTTACGTGGCTCGTGGCTTCAGTCAGCGGCAGGGAGTTGACTACTTTCAGACCTTCTCTCCCACCCCGAAGATGACCACTCTTTGGGTACTGCTGCACATAGCTGCTCACCGCGACTACGAGCTGCACTCTCTTGACTTCAGCACTGCTTTCTTGCAGGGCAGCCTGCACGAGGAGATCTGGCTGCGTCGCCCACCTGGCTTCACTGGGTCTTTTCCTCCTGGCACCCAGTGGAGCCTCCGGCGGCCAGTCTACGGTCTCCGCCAGGCACCGCGTGAGTGGCACGACACACTGAGGACTACACTTGCGGCTCTTGGGTTTGCTCCCTCTACTGCCGACCCGTCGCTGTTTCTGCGCACCGACACTTCTTTGCCGCCGTTCTACATCCTCGTGTACGTCGACGACTTGGTCTTCGCCACAGCTGACACTGCTGGACTCGCCCACGTGAAGTCCGAGCTGCAGAAGAGACACACGTGCACAGACCTGGGTGAACTGCGCAGCTACCTTGGCTTGCAGATCACCCGGGACAGAGCACACCGCACCATTACCCTGACTCAGTCACACATGGTGCAGCAGGTCCTTCAGCGCTTCGGCTTCACGTACTCCTCGCCTCAGGCCACTCCTCTGCCTACTCGCCACTCACTCTCAGCTCTGCCTTCGGATGAGTCCGTAGAGTCGAGTGGCCCGTACCCAGAGCTTGTTGGCTGCCTCATGTACCTGATGACCTGCACACGACCTGACCTTGCATACCCTCTTAGCATTCTTGCACGCTATGTTGCTCCTGGGAGACACAGACCGGAGCACATGGCTGCAGCGAAGAGGGTGTTGCGCTACTTGTGCAGTACGTCGGGCATGGGGCTTGTGCTTGGAGGGCAGAGTCCAGTGGTCCTCACCGGGCACGCAGACGCCTCTTGGGCTGACGACCAGGCTACGCAGCGGTCGTCACAGGGTTACACCTTCAGCCTTGGTTCCGGCTCTGTTTCGTGGCGGGCTACCCGCTCGTCTTCTGTTCTCGGCTCCAGTTGTGAGGCTGAGATCTACGCCGGGGCCATGGCTGCACAGGAGCTTCGCTGGCTCACCTACCTGCTGACTGACCTCGGAGAGCCGCCTCGTTCTCCTCCAGTGCTGTACGTAGACAACAAGGCCATGTTGGCCTTGTGTCGAGAGCAGAGACTGGAGCACAGAACGAAGCACATTGCTCTCCGCTACTTCCTTGCTCGTGAGCTACAGCAGCGTGGTCAGCTGCGGCTTGCGTACGTGGCCTCTCAGGCCAACACTGCTGATATCTTCACCAAGGCACTTGCGCCTTGTGATCATCAGCGCTTCTGTACTCAGCTGGGCCTTGTGCCTACCTTGCCTCACTTGCTCACCCCTTGACCTTGTTTGTACTGTTGCATATATATATACACCTGCTCTTGCTTGTCTAGCCTTATATATATATGTAATCCTGCATGTGAACTGGCCTTGTGGCTTTGAACTTGTGCTCGGAATGTGTGGTGACTTTGTGATCCACCCTGAGCTTGCTTTGTTTTGCTTGACTGGTCTTGTGACCCCTTGTTCTCCCCCACTCTGCCTATGGGGGTGTGTCAGATTTATATGACATAGCTACTGTAGGCTATAGTGGGTAGCACATATGGGGTACAGTTTTCTAGGGTTTGCCTTTTGTACTCAACTTTCACTTAGTTATTTCATTCCTGTTTTCTTGTTTCACAGTGTGCTCGATCGGTCCCCGAGGGCAATGTCCGTAATAGGACCCCGGTCTTGGACGGCGCAAAATGTCGATTTTCTCGGCGAGCGCGAGGATTTAATTGAAATTCGATAGCCCGCATAGCATGATTTCATGCGAAAAGTCCGGCTTCAGCCCTCCGACGTAACGGCCCACCAGCTCCGCCTCGTGCATGTAGCCGACTTGCTCGCATAGTGCGAGAAAACCGCTCGTATAATCTTGGACCGACCCAAGTTGTCGCCAAGCTGACGCGCCGAAAAAGAAGCCGCGATCGGCTCGAAGCGCGCCCGAAGCCCTGCGCACCACGCATCCCACGTGCTGTACTGGGCGGTTTCGCAGAAGGAACTCCAGGTGACGGCTGGACCCGTGGGCTCTCCCTCTTGCGACGGCGGCTCGTAGGCGCGAGGCGACATCACGATGACTCGTCACCAGTCCATGGCGGGGCCCCTCAGCAGCGAAACAACATAGCGAATCTTCGCTGCGTCTAACTCGACGTAATTCGCGTCGAAGAAGACGTTCATCGTGAAAAGCCACAATTGAACCGTCGGACCTCCACGTTGGCTAGGATCGAAGCAGGGCGGGCGCTCTGGCTTGAGCAGCATCGGTGCTATGACGTCGTTGTTGCCACTCGTTGCTGCAAACTCCACGTGCCGACGGGCTTCGCGAGGCCCCTGCGTACTTGGTGCGGCCCTGTTCCTCTCCATGCCAGGCATCGATTGGGCGACACCATCATTGGCTGCGCCTGAGCGTTGTCCCACGCTGTCGTGTTGTGACGGTGTGCCGGACGAGATGATAATCGGCTTCTCCGATTGCGCAGGTGCATTTGCGGGTGCGTGTGTTGGTGCTGGTGCATTCACCGTTGATTGCTGGCGGGCGGAGTCACGTTCCGCCGTGAGTGTCGCAATTTCAAGCTGCGAATCTTCGAGTTGGCGGACGAGCCGGTCGAGCTGCTCCTGCGTCAGCGTCGCAATATTGAATTCGGCCATGACGGGGGTGTCGGGCAAGCTCAACGAGAGCCTCAGTCGTGGCCGTGCGTGCTTTCGAGAGAGCACTTCGAGCGGCGGTGCCTGAACGCTAAGAGACGTCTATCCCCCCCCCCAAAAAATCGAGATAGTGGGGAAGCGAAGGTGTGGGTGCGGTCCGAGAAGAGATCGTAGGCTCTGAATACCAAGTGTTACGAGTGCAATCGAGCGAGCGAGCGAGAATTGCACTATCGAAGCAAAACAGTACAGCGAGCGACGGCCTGAGCAAAGAATATATAGCGAAGCTACAGTGGTAACGGTAATGTGGGAAAATGGGGTGCGCTACGGGCCTAGCGCCCAGGTTGGGAATTGTCGAGGCGGAGGTTACTAACCGAACCGTGAGGTTGGGTCGCGTCGTGAACAGTGGTGGGAACAGTGGTCGAGGCGAGTGGCGCGAGTGGTAACGGTGCACGGTTTGAGAGTTGTTGGCGGGAACAGTGGTGTACGCGGTGAGCAGGGACGCGAAGTAAGGAAAAGGAAATTTCCTTACATCGAACATGTACAGCAAAAGACACGCTCCCTTACTTGACTGGGCCACTTCAGGATGGCCAGACCGATTTGGAGTTGTTTCCGAATCCTGATACAATCAGTCGCAACATGCACAAAATTGTCGCAAGGTTGCTACTATATGACATTTCCACTTCTCCCACCCATCCAAATCCGCATCGAGGACACGAATACTCACGAAGGAACCTGCCACCAGACACTCAGCATCCACAGAAATGTTGAGCTAACGAATAATACAGAGTGATGCACTAGAGTAGCAAACAAAAGAACGACTACGTAACTTGAGAGGAGAGAGAGAGGGGGGGGGCGACGGGAGTTGGGACGCAACGGGAAGGGAGGGGGTATCGCGAGGGCAATTTACCGTACAACAAGGGGCGATTGCGGGCGACGGCAAAGGGAGGGGATCGCATAGGCGACTGGAAATGGGGGATCGCTACGAGTTCGAGTGGGAGATAGCGAGCGCGACGGGGAGAGGGGGGGGAGATAGCTAGCGCGACGGGGTGAGGGCGGGAGATAACTCGGCGCGAGACGTGATCGGAGATAGCGACGGTGCGCGGCGTGCTTGCTGACTTGGATGATGGCGCGAGACGTGATCGGAGGGGATGCCGTGAGCGCGAAGGGGATGCGAAGATGACGGAACGTGAGCGCAATGGCGAGGGGAGTGGAGAGCGTGTGGTGCTTGGGAGAAGGGAGGGGAGATACTGAGCGCGAAGGTGATGGGAGGGGATACCATGAGCGCGAAGGCGATGCGAGGTGTGCGTGAGCGCGATGGCAAGAGAGGAACGCACGTGAGCGCGATGCCGATGGGAGGGGAGGACGTGAGCAATAAAACATGAAGTGGGGAAGGAGAAAGGCGACGGGAGGGAGAGCGCAAAGGAGACGGGAGGGAGAGCGCGGAGGCGACGGGAGGGAGAGCGGACAGCCAACGAAAGGGAGAGCGGACAGGCGACAGAGGGAGAGCGGAAAGGCGACGCGAGGGAGAGCGCGAAGGCGAGGAGAGGGAGAGCGCGAAGGCGATGGGAGGGAGAGCGCAAAGGCGACGGGAGGGAGAGCGCGAAGGCGACGGGAGGGAGTGCGGACAGGCGACGGGAGGGAGAGCGCGAAGGCGACGGGAGGGAGAGTGCAAAGGCGACGGGTGGGAGAGCGCGAAGGCGACGGGAGGGAGAGCGCGAAGGCGGCGGGAAAAGTGATGGGAGGGGAGGGAGGAAGGGCTCGGGAGGGCGTTTCAGAAACATCGCGCAGGCGACGCGGTGTGTGATGGGAGGGGAGTGAAGAAAGGCGACGAGGGAGGGGGGAGGGGGGGGGGGGGGGGGGGGGGGGAGGGGAGGGGGGGGAGGGCAATCCGGGGCTTGCGCGGAAGCCGACGAGGTGGGCGATGGGAAAGGCGATGGGGGGTGGCATTTCGGGGAGAGCGCGGAAGCCGACGAGGTGAGCGATGGGCCGACGACTGCATCGAGGGTGACGAGAGGGGAGGGAAGAAAAAGAGGTCGACGGGACGGGAGGGGGGAGAGCGAGAGTGACAGGGAGGGAGGGGAGAAAGAGAGGGCGACGGGGGGGGGGGGGGGGAGAGAGGAAAGAGAGGCGCGAAGGTGACGGGAGGGGAGCGGACAGAGGACGAACGACTGGCGAAGGCGCGAGACAGGAAAGTAGCACCGCGCTTCTAGGCCGCGTGTTACTACATCACGCGCTGGTGGTACCGTAAGTCGACGGTTGACGCACTCGTCGATAATCCCTGAGTCTAGGACAAAAAAACTTATGCTCTGAGCTCCATTTCGTAGTACGCTATGCGGAAAACTAGTGACTGACGGTTTCGGAAAACTAGTGACTGAAGGGTTCGGAAAACTAGTTGTGAACCCAGGACCAGCTCGAAATTGAAGTTGGGCCTGGCGTTGGAAAACCATCGCCAGGGAACCGTCGTGCGGATGCAGCACGCAAAATGCGACGGCTGAAATGTGCCAGAAACTTCATTTTGGCGGGAACCAAAGCATTCCATTTTGGCGAGGGCCAATCAAATGAGTTCACTCTGCCCATGCGATTCGTTTGAAACAGTGTTTGTCAGAGTGGTTTCATTATCGCTTCGCAACACCTTTTCCAAGAGGGACGGGGTTCACTATTTTGGCTGCTGGCTTTAAGGAAAATTCATTTTCCTTACTTCGCACCCCTGCTTACCGCGTACAAGACTGTTCCTGCCAACAATACCTGTTATGAGTTGTACCGTAAAAGAGAGTGCGCGGAATAACGAATAACGAGGCTGTGACTCAATGAACTGACAATACAATGAAGGCACGCGCTAATATAGTGACTACCCTAGCTAGGAGGGAACCTCGGGAAACGAGGTTGGGTGCAGGTTTGGCGTTCGAAAGACCGAAGGCGACTCGGGGCAGACTCGGCATCGTGGATGTCGGCCGAACGTGCCAAGTCCGAAAATCGGGGTTGTACACGTAGCAGTCAAGCCTGATAAGGAATTCATGAAAATTCCTTACAGTACCCCACAGTGCACCGTTACCACTCGCGACACTCAACTCGACCACTGTACCCGCCACTGTTCACGACGCGACCCAACCTCACGACTCGGTTGGTAACCCGCGCTCCGGGCCTCCGCCTCGACAAATTCCAACCTCGGCGCTAGGCCCGTAGCACACCCCAATTTGTCGCGTTACCGTTACCACACTAGCTTCGCTATATAATATTCGCTCATTCCTTCGCTCAATCTACTGATTTGCTTCGATAGTGCAACTCTTGTTCGCTCGCTCAATTGCGCTCGTAACACTTAGTATCAGAGCCTACGATTTCTTCTCGAACCGCGCCCACACCTTCGCTTCCCCACTATCTCAATTTTTGGAAGGGGGTAGACGTCTCTCAGCGATCATGCACCGCTGCTCGTGTGCTCTCTTATAAGCAACTAAGGCTCTCGCTGAGCTCGCCCGACACCCCCGCCATGGCCGAAATCAACCTCGCGACGTTGACGCAAGAGCGCCTCGACGAAATTCTACGCCAACTCGAGGAATCGACGCTCGAAATTGCGATGCTCACGGCGGAACGCGACTCCGCCCGACAGCAATCAACGATGAATGCACCAGCAACAGCACCAACACCCGCAAATGCACCTGCGCAATCGGATGAACCAATTGTCATCCCGTCAGGCACACCGTCACAGCACGACAACGTAGGACAGCGTCCAAGCGCAATCAGTGATGGCGCCGCCCGATCGATGCTAGGCATGGAGAGAACCAGGACCGTACCGGGCGTAAACGTACCTCGCGAGGCTCGTCTTCACGTCGGATTTGCTGCACCTGCCGGCAACGATGACATTAGTGAGTCATCAACAACCAGCAGAAAGTAGCGCGCGCGGTCCTGTCCACTGACGCGGGCGGGGCCCCACACGTCCATGAGGAGAGCCGCTCCTTGACGTAGGGAAGGCAGCGCAAGCGAGGGAGCGGGGACAGGGACCTGGGGATGTCAGAATATAATGCTTGTCTAGTCTGTAGTGGGGTACTCAATAGTGAGTATAACCCTTTAGGGCTTGCTATTTGTACCTCCCTCCTTTCTAGTCAAACCATTCCTTTGCCTATTTTCTTCTTGCCTAGTTAGCTAAACCCTAGCTATGGCTCCTGCATTCTAGCTACTCTTCTGACATGGTAACAAAGCTGTTACGCTCCTGGCCTATGGGCCCACCTGCTTCCGCTGCTTTCCTGTCTGTCGCGCGCCCCGTGGCGCGCGACACTGTTTTTTCTTCCCGCCACGCGCTCGGGGCGCATGGCGGTTTTCTGCCCGCCGCGCGCCCTGGGCGCGCGGCGGTTTTCTGCCCGCCGTGCGCCCCGAGGCGCGTGGCGGCTTCTTGCTTCACGCGTCACCCCGGGGACCCGCGCGTCCCCCCCCGTCGACGGTCGCGTCGCCCCCCCTGGAGCCCGTCGCGTCGCCCCGCAACCCGCGCGCGGCCCTCGTTGCCCCGTCGCGACGCCCTGGGGAGCCGCTCGCGGCCCCCCGCTGCCCCGTCGTGGCGCCCTGGGGAGCCGCGCGCGGCCCCCACAATCCCGTCATGGCGCCCTGGGGAGCCGCGCGCGGACCCCGCTGCCCCGTCGCGCCGCCCTGGGGAGCCGCGCGCGACCCCCCGCTGCCCCGTCGCGGCGCCCTGGAGAGCCGCGCGCGGCCCCCCGCTGCCCCGTCGTGGCGCCCTGGGGGCCGCGCGCCGTCCCCCGCGCTGCTGCCCGCGCTCCTGCCCCGTGCTGCCCGTTTTAGGGTTTGGGGGTGGCGAGTGTGGGGGTGGCGGGTATGGGGGTGACGGGTGTGTGCGCCGTCCCCTGCTCCTCCTCCTCCTCTGTCTCCCACTGCTGCAGCTATCGTTGAGGGGGGTGGGTGTGTGGGAGCCGAAGGAGTGGTGCTAGGGGGGTGACGTGGGAGTGGAGCTAGGGGTGTGTGAAAGGGGGGTGGGACAGTTGGGGGAGGTTGAACGGAGACTGTCGTCGTGTCGTCAGCAGCACCAGTAGTCCGGGGCGCTGCTCCGGTAGCCCATTATGAGCCAGCTGCGCCAGTCGCCCGTGGGTCCGTTGCTCCTGCCGCTCGTCTTAGCCGCAAAGCCAGTTACTCCAGTAGTCCGGGGCGCTGCTCCGGTAGCCGCTGTGCCAGTGCGGCTCCTGTTGCCCGTGTGTCTGCAGCTTCAGCCGTCGCCTCCTATCTCCTCTCCTCTTACAGTCCCGCCTCCTCCTCCTCACTTGCCCTTTGTGAATGCCTCTAGCTTTGCTTGTCCTTGTGAACCTGCTCTATGCCTGCTTGCTGTGCTGATTATACCCCACTTTGACTATGGGGGTGTGTCAGAATATAATGCTTGTCTAGTCTGTAGTGGAGTACTCAATAGTGAGTATAACCCTTTAGGGCTTGCTATTTGTACCTCCCTCCTTTCTAGTCAAACCATTCCTTTGCCTATTTTCTTCTTGCCTAGCTAGCTAAACCCTAGCTATGGCTCCAGCATTCTAGCTACTCTTCTGACAGGGGAGGCTAGAGACAAGGAGACGGGAGTGCATGCTACGCAGACGCGGCAGTGAGGGGTGGCCCAGACGGTGGTGCCAGAGGAGAGACGGGTGGGTGAGTACCTGACACGTGCAAGACGCAGCTACCTGACCGAACGCAGCTATCTGTGCGGACTCAGTGGTCAGTGTGTAAAGGCCAGACCCGGGTGTCCGAGTGAACGTGGCGAGGTGGGCGCGAGTTTGTGAGTCCGTACAGACCGCCACAAACTCACCCTAGGAGTAGTGGTAGTGACCAACTGGTCCTGGAGGACAGCGTTACTCACCAAGTTCTTAGCGAACGAGGGGAGGTGGAGACCTGTGGAGGGACTGCCGGACACGGGAGAACGGTGGAGGGACGATCTACGACTGGGCCCCCAGAGGGGTCAGCCAGAATGACCGGGACAGATGCAGTGAGCGGTGTGACTATGGTGCAGTCGCGGAAGAAGCAGCGAGACGCGCCGGAGTCAAGCGTGAAAGTGTGCAATGTCAAACTTATATGCTATAGTTTGTGTAGGCTGTAGTGGGGTAGTTCATATGGGGTACAACACTTTAGGGTTTCCTACTTGTACTTCTCATTCTGCTCAATGCAATCATTCCTCGTTCTGTTCTTCACATGGTTTCAGAGGAGGTTCCCTAGTGGGAACGAATTTTTAGGGCCCACCACGATATTTTTTCCTACCCTGCCTGAAGCGCGCTGCCGCGCTTGCCTGCCCTGTCGCGCGCCTCGCGCCTGCCTCACCTGCGCCCTTGCGCCTGCCCTACTGTGCGCCGTCGAGCGCCTGCCCTACCCGCGCCATCGAGCGCCTGCCCTTGCTGCAGCCGCCGTCGCGCGCCTGCCCTACCCGCCGTCGAGCGCCTGCCCTACCTGCCGCCCGTCGAGCACCTGCCATGCCGCCGCCCCGTCGCGGACCTGCCCTACCCGCCTGTCGCGCCGTCGCGGCCCTGCCCTACGCGCCCGTCGTACGCCTACCCTGCCGCCGCCCGTCGAGCGCCGGCCCTACCCGCCCGTCGAGCGCCTGCAGCCGCCTGTCGAGCGCCTGCCCTGCCGCCGCTCGTCGAGCGCCTGCCCTACCCGCGCTTGTCGCGCGCCTGCCCTACCGCCGCCGGTGGCACCTGCCCTACCCGCCCCTGGTGAGCACCCGCGCTACCCGCGCACCTGCCCTACTAGCGCCAGCCGCGCCTGCCTGCCTGCCGAGCCGCGCCGCCCAGCCGAGCTGTGCCGCCCAGCC